TTAATTACAATTTATCATTCCAGAACTTACTTCTAGCACTATACTTCCAATTGCCTTTATTGTACTTTATTTACAAGTTTCGTAAGTTTACTTTAGAGATTCATTTAGATTGAAATAAACATTATTAAAAGGGTATGAATATTTTCGAAGTGTTCTTCGTTTCAAAGAACAAATTTTAAATAAGAACACATGTCCTAGGATCAATCTACTTGATCCTGAGAGTAACAAAGAACTTTTCGTTGTTTTTGGAAGACTATCGTTTGTTTATCATTTTTCACGGTAAATAAATTAGCATACCCGGTGGGACCTGTGTTCAATTAAAGATATATTGTTCTTGTAAAAAGTTTTTCTTTTTAAAAAAGTGTTCATTATTTTCTGGTATATGACTTTGTTGCACAAGACTTAGAAGTGGTAAATTAGCCATAAACAACAAGGAAATACCTAAAAGAAAATACATTATGAAAATGGCAAATCAAAGTCAGCCAAGTAATAAAAATTCCCCTAATAATAATGAAGTACCACCTATAGTATCTTCGACATGGGGGACTACGGTTTCAGCGCCTTCTTCAGATGTTATACCGTCTTTAACATGTTCGACACCAATGCAGTCGAATGCTTATATTGGCCCTATTTTTACTTATATAGGACCACAGGGTCCACTAGGGACCCCCCTCCAGAGGGAAATGTTTTTTATAGGCTTCAAGGGTCTTCTTGTTTTTCTATGCCACTAAATGGCCGCGAACGGCCCTATGGCATGCCATCATCGTTTATGGAAGGATTGCATAATTCAACTTGAACTTATTGAAAACTTATAATGAACGTCTCTTCGCCATTACAAGGTCTGCTATTAATAATATGGGTCAAATTAGCCAACCCCATGGAGAAGGATTTTCTTCCCAAATTCCAAATTTGACAAATCACTCTGCGGTAGTAATTAGGCAAAAATGGACGAAAGTAACCATTAAATGGTCCAAATTCTTGCACATACAATGAGTACAATTTTTAACCCTTTGATTAAAAACACTACTCAAATGAACCAACAAATGGCAGCATAAATGACGCACATCGCTGTATTCTTTGGTGTGCCTCAACCCTCATCATAGGCTCAAAGGGAATGGGTAAAAGAAAATCAAGGGGTAACCTTTGATGAAGACCCAATAATTAACCAATTTCAACAAAATCCAAGAAATACACCCGAGGAGAATGTGGTACTCATTCAGTCGAAATACCTACAGTTGAACCTCTTAGGCAGGAACCAGAAATTCCAAGGGAGGCAAAACCTAGATTATGATGGTAAATAGGAATCAAAATGTTGATAAAGTCATATATCAAGTTCGACAAAATAATATGGTAGCAGACAATAATCTAGAAGCCATGGTCGAAAGAATCATGGCTTGCAATGGTGTAAATGTCGGCCTTCATAGGCCAAGTTACACTTCGCCATTGAATGAGTAAATTTTGCAATCACATATACCTCCCAGGTGGAAAGTCCCCAAATTTACTAAATTTTCTAGGGATGCTACTGATCAGTGGTATTTACATAGTTATTTATCGTTAATTGCAGTTATCTTTTATTTTATAGTCCAGTGTTTTATTTCATTTCACCGCATTTTATGCTTTGGTTGTGTGTTTTAGTGTTTTTGGGGTCAGAGGAATAAAATAGGACAATTCAGAGCAAAAAATTGAAAAACCTCAGAGTTTCGGAGAAAGTAAAAAATCCACCTACAGGAGGCCTGACATAGCCCCCCGTGTCGCCTGACATGGGCCATGTCAGCTTGAGCGGATAAAGAAATATGGATGTCAGAGGTGCAACACGGGCAGTCGTGTCTCTTGACACCGCCATGCTGCAACCCCTGGAACCTTAAAAGAATATTTCGAAGTTTGGGGTCCAACACGGGCGGCCATGTTTCCTGACACGGGCTGTGTTAGCCTGTGACGCTGATTTCATGGTTTTTTTCATAATTTTTCCATATGTTATGCTGTGAGAGCATTTTGGGTACTTCCAACCGACCTGGATGAATAATGACTATTTAAATGAGTTTTCACAAGGAATAAGGGGACTTTTTTTGGAGTGAAGAATAGTTTACACGACTGAAGATTGGAGAAGTCAAGGTTTTTGGAGAGCGGGAGATTTTCATGCGCGGAAGCAATTAAAGATCAAATTTCATCCCAATCCTTATAATGTCTATATTTTGTCTTGTGATTATTTTGAACAATATGAGTAGTAAACCTCTCAATGCTAGGGGGTGTCCCTGAAATGAATTTATAATGATTATGAATCCCTGAGTTCTTTAATAAAGTTGTTTTCTTATTCAATGTAATCGTGCAATGTTTTCATGCAATCCTGATCAGACCAATTAGGATTGATCTATGGTTAACAACCAGCTGGGCCGCGATTGTTAAGGTTTTTGTATGATTAGGCTATAATAGATATCACTTAAGACTAGGGATACCCTATAGTTACCAGATCACTCTTGATATAATAAAGGATTGACTCCATTAGATATCTCTAAGGACTTAGAATTTAGGATGAATGGTTAAAGGTTTTCCCACTAAGGACTTAGGGGAAGATAATCTAAAGGGCGGGTAATTTAAGGATATGAACTTGTCGAAGAGATCATGATTCAAGGTTGTTAAAGGGCAAATTATACACCATACCCCAGCATGCTCTGCATATCTGTGTATAGTACCCCAAATTTTGCCCCTAAGTTACCTATATCATCCCATACCATCACAATGCAACAAGATCATGCATTAGGATTTGGTTACTTCTTCTACGGTAACTTATCTTTAAGTTTGCTCTTTATAGATCACCAAGCACTTTGAATCATGTATCTTGTATATATGTGTTTTATCTTCTATCGACCTCTAACCAAAATCCAAAAACATGTTTTGCTTATTTTGTTTCTTGTCAGACAGGGTTTGTGATCAAGAAATTCAGGTGATGGTTCTCCGATTGGGGTTATGGTTTTTTCAGGCCAAAGATAGTTCCCAAAAATCCTATGGCTCAGAGTGGTGATCTATAATCTTAGGTCACCTTATCCTCAAGCTTCATTCGGCATAGTTAAGGCGAGTTTGTTGGCTTAATTCTCAAGACTCTTCGAGATAGGTTCACATGTCTGTTCCATGCCTTCTTCGACGAGTAATCTCAAATTCTGACAAGTGTGAACATGGTTTCATCAGAATTTCATCATCTCAAGTTACTTCTTCACCTACGTGCACTTAATACCTAGAGAATTAGGGTCTCTCCTATGATATGCCTGAGCATTGTTTTCGGCTATTTAACAATGGCTCATTGTGAGAGACTGTCTCTGCAAAACTACAATGGTCACCATGCTTTACTCATTACAAGTTCATCATCATTTAGGGCTTCTCCTAACTGCTGGTTCCACAAGACTTTCTTTCTCAAGGAGTTTAGAGGATTGAATAAAATTTCTCTTCTTGTGATATTTCTTAAATGGTTCATGAGTGTTTAAGGCTTTCACAGTCAAGATGTTATTTGTTGTTATACTATGGATCTGGATTTCCTAAACCTTTTTAGACATCACAGGGGCACTTCTTGAATTTTTGATTCAATTGGAGATTGAGGTTCATTAAATCAGGGTGTTCATCTTGAGATCATCAGAGTTAGATTCAGGTCAAAGGGACATTCACTGCATAGCAAGCTCAATAAAAAAATAGGGTGTTCATCTGTCTTTCATTAAATCAAAGGATCATTCATTAAATTCAGGTTTTCATGGAGTATTGAAGTGTGGAAACCAAATACAAGCTTCATTCAAGTTTGCATTCCAACGTTACAAGTTTGATTCATGAGGTTTTTCTCAACGTACATCATTATGTAAGGTTTGGGATTCAAGATCAAATGTCATTCACCATTATTTTCCAAGCTCAATTGATTCAAAATCACAAGGTTTCATCAAGAATTATCCATGTATGATTAATTACGTTCACGGTTCTATTACAAGTTCAAGAAAGTTTACCATGATTCATTACACAAAGTCAAGTTATTTCACTGCAAAGTTACATGAAAATTAAAAGAGAAAAATGAAGGTTTCATACAAATTCCCAATCATGTCCAAAAGTTTTCAAGTTTTCTAAAGCATAATTTGCAAAGTTACAATTCCATACATTTCCACACCTAATTTCTATGAAAACTAAAAGACTTTGATGGTTCTTCTTCAAGCTTCCTTGGACTATCTGATTTCTTCATGCCAAATTGCTACGCCTCAGTTTTCTTCCTTCATCGAGTCTTCAATCCCTACCCTTTGCAATCATGCTCTCGACAAACCACTCATCACATGAAACAAGGAAAAATAAACACAAATTTGTTAGCAAGCAATCATCAAAAAGCCATGAACAATAATTGTTAAGCAAGAAGTTTTCGAGCTGGATTCTTTTCAACTTCATCGTAAGGGTTGTGAAGGGAATCAAAATTAAGGGTTATTCAGTCATTAATCAAAGCCCAACAACGGAGGCCTCGTATTGCTTTTGTTTCACAACAAAATCATATTCAAGTTTAATCATGGGCCTCGTTCTGTCTACTACAAATCACAAATGTGTTTGTTCACAGTAAGATAGTTCAAAGGGAAATTCACTGCATAACAAGCTCAATAAAAAAACTCAGATCTTCATCAGAGTTTAAGCAAGTCAGAATTGCAATTCTCAAGCCCAATAGCAAAAAAAAACATAGTCAATACAGTAACATTTTCACGTATCAAAAATAACATTTCGGGAAATTGCCAAAGCCCAACGAAAATTTCAGCAAGTTTGTTATTAGGATTCACCAGCCTATTATCAGAACGGACGAAAATTTACAACAGAGGAGAAATTCACAAGGGTCCAAGATAGGAAAGGCAACTAGACCTGTTATCACAACTCATCAAGTTTATCAAGAAAAATGGAGAGTCCAAACGCACAACAAAACAGTATTTCCCTGTGGGTATAAGAACATTCGATTGAAAATATTTTAGGGGGGTCACTGTTTACACAATATAGAAGTGATGCTAAATATAAAAGACTCAATCATCACCTTCTTCCAAAAAATTGATCAGAGTCGTTCAAAAAAAAGTTATCAAGCCAACAAAAACAAAAGTCGTGCAAACACCAAAAACCTAACCGAGTATCATTACTTTCCCATGCACACAAACCCTTCAGAGATCGCGAGAAAGAGAAGAAGAGGAAAAGTTTTTGTAGCAACAAAAATCAGAAAGATCTCACATATTTCTATCATCTGAGTCGATAGGGATTCCGAAACCCCTTTCACGATCCCGACCAAACCGTCGAGTTGCTGCAAAATCGAACCATGGATTAGCACTCAGAAGGAAAATACGGAGCTATTAACGTAAAAATATCATAGATCGGAGTAGGTTGTGGTGATTATAGCGGCCTGGTTCGTCTGTCCGCCTTATTCTTTCTCTCAACTTTCTTTTTCACTTTCTCCATTTATTTAATAAAAGGTGATGATATGATAAAGAGTGAAAGAGAGATTTTGTTCTTTTAAAAAAAAGGGTGATGATATTGTCTTGAAGGAAGCAAAACGTGGTGATGTTATGAGAGAGAGGAAGAGTTTTGAAATAAAATTTTTTTTGTTAATTGTTGATGTATTTAACGTAACAACATATTGTTCATTGGACTTCTCCTCCCCCCTTCCTCGTGATCCGGGCCAGCAATTGAAGTGGTGACAAGTGGCCACCTGTGCCACTTGTCATCGTCTGAGAAGATGATGTTGATAATTGATTTCATTCCTACATTCCCACAGTATTATCATAAACCACGGTTCTGGATCTCTTGATGCAATTACTTCACCTGAGTTGACCAGATATAAGGGTTGACATTATTCCTGTTTAATTTTCTTTACTATTTTTTATCTTAATTCATTTTATCTTTTAAAAATCATTTTAAATTAATTTTTCGACCAAAAATTCTGAAAAACTTATAAAAATTATTTTCTTTATTTCTGACTTTCTAGAATTTTATAGAATTTTATTTTAGTTTAAAAATAGTTTGACTTTAAAAAATTACCAAAAACTTTATAAAAATATTTAAGTTCATTTCTGATTTTTCTATGGTCTCACTTGATTTTTCTTGAGCGTTTTGAATATAGTTTTTATTTTTACCTTATTTCCATATTAAAAAATCATTTAAAACACCTTTCTCTTTTATTTTAAATACTATTTTATTTTTGTATATATTCTGACTATTTTGACTTTTGATCATGGACTTCATTAACATCGTTGGATCTTGGGTGTTGAGTTTAACATGGCCAAAATAGATGAATGATTTTAATGATAGTTTGATTAATTTTTATTTCAAATATTTCCCCTCCCTCTTCATCTTATCCCTTTCTTATTGTGCCAAATGTTATTAGAGGGTAATTTACATATCATCTCTCCAAACATATAACACATAGATTTCTATTGAGCGGCCTCAAAATAGGTTTGACTTCTATATAAGTCCACTTATGATTGCTTAACATAGCGCTAAATTTTGTCCCGATTCAAAAAATTATCATTCGTGGCCCAAACCCTAATTTGTAAGCCCAAGGATGTTTAATTTGAAACCTTTGATCCAATAACCTTGAGATTCATTGTTAGGAGGCTTTGGTCTTATCAATCCTCTAATGAATCTTCATAAACTTTGGTATAAGTGAACCATTTAAACATTATTGATCATATGTGGTTATATTGAAGACTTGGAATGAATGATATACTTGACAAAAAGAAAATGAAACTTGTTGTTGAGAGGCTTTGATTTTATCAATCTTCTAATGAGTTTTCAAATGCAACATTCAAGATGGTCATTCAACTAATCCCTATAACTAATTCATTAACAATTGACCTTTATTTTATGCTCTTTTATTTTATGTTTTTATTTTATGCCTTTACTTTATGCACCATTTTATTTTAGAATTTATATTTCATGCTATTTTTCTTCTTTGCTCACTTGAGCATTTATTTTTATGTCATTTTTATTTTGCTCACTTGAGCTTTTCACTTCTTTTTTGAAGATACTTAATAACAACTTGAACCATAAAAAGCTTTAATGTTACTTGGACTATTTGGTTACTATCCTTGGAATTTTGGAGTTATGGACTTCTTGGACTTAGGATTAGAAGCCTTGACCTATCTTGGGACCTTTTGACCTCAAGTCTTATTTTGTTTGGAGTTCTTGGGGTTTAACCCAAGATATTGGGATGTTTGTTTGCTTTGTATGCAAGTTATTGTGATTACATGCTTTGTCTGTGATCGGGAATTCATCTGTATACAACCAATAATCTTCCCAATTTTTTTTGAAGACTTAATGCATTTGAAGCTTGGTTTTCTTAAGAGGTTTATCATCTTTGATTGTTTGGTTTCAAATCCAAAGGATGGGAATTCTAAATTTACGCATTGTGTAAAGTGTTGACTTCTTGTTGGTTAGACGGTTCTTTTCCCTAGCTTTTACATTATGCTTTAGGATAGTCCCTTCACCTCCTCCCATATTCTTTAATTTTAAAAATCTTCTCCCTCCTTTTGAAAACACTTCTTGTTTCTAAACTTGAACCGCTTTCACAATAAACTCAGACTTATGTCCGTGCATTTTCAAAACATTTTCTTAATCAAATTTTAATCAACTTAGCAATACCTTGACATTTTTGTGAGATTACTAAAAGTAAATCAATCTCATTCAAAACATTTTGGCCACTTGGGCTTTTTACCTTAAAACTTTTCTCAAAATATTAGACTCTTGTCAATCCTTGTACTAATGCGAGCTACTATACTCCTATGATATGTAGTGAAGTGAGATACTTTCCACTTGGGTGTTGAGTGAGGCTTTGTTGGTTTTAAAATCCAAGCCATATCCTCCACTTTGAAATGAAGCAAATTCTCCTTTCTCATAATCGTGGGTAATAAGTATGTTCTTCCACTCGGATAAGACGATGATGTCTTGTCTCTTAAATCTAACCAACACACTTGTGTTTTAAAATTTCTAAAGGTGAACTACGAGTATCCTGATTCCGTATTGCACGGAAGGTGGTACGTAGGAACTAAAGGTTCGCAACCGCAACGGGTGCAAAAATCATTAAAAAATACTTCTTTTTCTCATCTCCACAATCCATTTTTTATACAACATTTATAGCCAAAATACATAAATTTTCAAAGAGGTTCATTCAGAGTACCATAGATGATTAGGGTGGTAATACATTCTTGTTGTACCCAAAAATTTTCCCTCCCATATTCCTTAAGATTTGTCAAGAATGATCCTCAAATTGCTCAAGATGGCTCAAGGGTTGTACAGTCAAACCACCTCCTAAGCCAGTTCAAAACTAGGGTTTTGGTTCTTTCAAGGAATTTGAGGTTTTCAATGGTTCAATCAAGTCTCATAGGCCTATATACATTCTCAAGCACCTACATGCCAAGTTTCAAGACTCATAGTGCCAATTTGCACAGTTAAAAGCCTCATTTGATCTACAGTCAACTACAGGGGTAAAATGGTCATTTTGCAGTCAAAAGTCAGAATTTTTGGTCAACATCTTATTTTGAGGTCACAATCATCATTTGATCAAGTCTTAATCATGATTCCACAAGAATGGCTCAAAAATCATCAAGATGCAAAAAGTTACTATTTTTGGACAGCAGAAAAGTCAACTGTATCTTGACAAGGGCATAACTTTTTCATGGTTCATCAGAAAAATCCCATCCAATGCTCATTTTGAAGGGGATGCCATTTCCTACAATCCATATTCACACTCCATGTTCAAGAAATGCTCTCATAAAAAGTTATCAATTTCTACATTATAGGTCAAATTCAAAAGTCAACAAATGTACACTTTAAGTCAAAGGCCATAACTTGAGATTGGTAAATCCAAATTACATGGGACCAAAGGCATTGGTTTGAGGACTTCAAGAGCTTTCCAAAATGTCCAAGAACATGGTCATATGATCCAAATTGAGCAAGTTGTGCATTGGAGAAGTTGGGAAATTTTCATGAATTTGCAAAAGTCAACTTTGCTCAAAACACCTTATTTTTGCTAATGGGCCTCAAATCTCTTCTTGAAACTTCATCCATGACCTATGCACGACCCATCAAGCTTAATTGAATTTATTTTCTTTTTTTATTGATTAATTTGATTTTTAATTAATATTAATTCATTTAATTAATTTAAATTGTAGGAAAATGCAAGATTTGATTTTTCAATCAATTTGTGAAGCAAATATGGTCAAGATATGCTGTCAAATTCGAGCACCAAGTCAAAGATGCAAAAAATCCAAAATTGGAAACATTTTACAATCATGAAAAATCAAAAAGATTTGATTTCCAATCAAGGATTCAAGCATCAATGCAATGGATTTTTGTTCAAGCTTTTGACCTAATTCAATTGCCCTATATATATGCAAGAAAATCCTAACCTAATGGACGTAAAAAAGCTGAAGAAAAACCATAGCCAATTCAAGAAATTTTCAAGAAAAATTAAAAACTGATTTTTGCATTCCAGGCCAATTCAAGGCATTCTATTGATTCAAACACATTGCAGGAAGTGCCAGGAGTGATTTACAATTGAATTCACGCACTAAAGCTCAAGAAATCACTGAAAACAGAATCACAGTTTGGCTCTTTTATCCAGAATCGTAACTCTTAAATCATGCATATTTAACGTGTTTTCTTGATTGATTTGTGTTGCTAGGGACCATACGAAGCTAATGGTATCATTTAATTGAATTATAATGCACTGAATCACAAGATACCATGAACGATTTCTAGGGTTCTTAAGCTTTGAAATTGGGGCTTTATGAACCAGGCAAAATTAGGACTAGTGAGACATATGGTTGAATTCGTGAGGACAAGACGAACCTAACCCACCCATCGCGAAATATTTATGCTTGTTGTAGCTCTAATCACTATTTTTCCTTGCAGTATATAGTGGGGGTTAAAAACCCCCGCTATCTGATATTGTTTTTGCAGGCACAACGAAGAAGATGATGAGGTGTTCACATATGGTTGGACCATTTGAATCAGCGTGCGTTTTGTTTTGATTTCAGCATATTTGTTTATTTTCTTATATAATTATTGCGCTTTATTTTATTAACGATTGGAACGCGTTGGCTGAGTGGTTGGGGAAAGCATGCAAAGTTCATTGGGACCTGGGTTCGAACCCCAGGTCCCCCAAACATTATTTGTTCTTTTTCTTCAGGCGTTCTTGTGCAAAGCTTGCAAGGGGAGTCTACCATATGCTTTAAATCTCAGCATGCCAAGT